TCCAGCATGATTAGCTCAAACGGTTGAAATTAGAAAAACTAAATTAGCTGATACGACTTCAATTCGAATCTACACTATGTTTGGAGAGGTAACTTTTGGAGTGATGTGTGTATAATATTGCATGTTGTTGATATGAAAGCAAAAAATATTTTAGCGTGTGTGTGTGATACTAGCTTTATGTTCTTCTAATTCATAATCATAATCCTTTCGAAAAAATTGCTTCCTACTCTTGGAAACATCTATATATCGATCGGTTGGCTATTCAAAAGTCGATTACCTGAGGTTTATACTCCATCCGTTTCAAAATATAAGACGTTTTAGAGATTTATTTGTTTTTCAAAATATAAGATGTTTTAACAATTTTTAAGTACACATTTACTTTACTGATTATTGTACAACCAATAGTATTATACACTCTTATTTATAATTGGTGAAATTATTTTTATTTTCTATATTAAATGATTTTTTTTAATGAAAAATAATTTCTTAATCTCATCGTTTTTAGGCAAAATATCTTATATTTTAAAACAGATGAATATATTTTTAATTAATTAGACTTAAAATAGGAATTCCATATTACGAAACTACCCTATCAACTTAATATAAGAACTTCATTCTCCATCCCCTCTCCCACATCGACATCTCATTCTCTATCTCACCGGCAACTTCACACCGACTTGTATCTCCGGCGTAAACCTCTCCTAACCGAATCGGAAATGGCGAAAGGAGGAAACAAACTGATGAAGCTTAAGTCAGTTTTAAAGAAGCTTAATTCATTCAACACCAAGTCCAACCAACCACCGGCAACTCCGGCCAATCACGGTCGATCCTCCTCGGTGAGTGCATTTCCCTCTGGAGACCTTCACACCGTCTACGTCGGCCGAACACGACGGCCTTACCGCGTCAGCCCCGACGTCGTGAACCACCCACTCTTCCAGCAGCTAGCGGCGGTGGACGGTGGATGCGGCGGCGAGGACGGTTCGATCGTCGTGTCGTGCGAGGTTGTCTTGTTTGAGCATTTGCTTTGGATGCTCGAGAACGCCGTCGCCGACGAGTCACGTCCCGAGTCAGTCCACGAACTCGTCGAATTCTACGCTTGTTAAACTCTTTACGATTAATTTAGGTGCAAAACATATAAGATGTTTTGGGTTTGTATATTTTATATACTTTGTATAATTTACACAATCTTTTGTTAAAATCTATTTTAATTATTTTTTATATGATACTAGCTAATTGACCTGCACCTTATGAAATATTTTAAAAAACAAATTAATTTTTCGTATTTGGTTTCCCCTCTTCTTTTTTTTCTTCCAATTTTTTTTCTTCCTCTTGTTTTTTTCCCGATAATTTTCGTATTCTCCGACTTCTTCACTTTTTTCCTTTTAATTTCTTTTTTCGTTTTTCTTTCGTTTTTTCTTCCGATTTTGTTCATTGTCGTTGTCTCCTTTCATCATTTGTCTATTTAACATCTTCTTTTCTTTCTTCTGATTTATATTTATATTTTCTTAGGCTTTTTTTACATCTTCTTCCTCGTCTTGTCTTTCTTCTTCATCGTTTTTCTCGGCGTCTTGTTCTACATCTAACTCATTACCTAACCTCCATTAACAATCAGTAAATGATTTCCCAAGAGCAACATCAACACATAAATGAAGAGGTATTAAATTTTAAGATATGAGTCTAAACCCTCACAAATAATATACGTAAACACTGAAAACAATACATAGATCATAAACCCAAAATTCTAGTATCATAGCCGAAATTCAAATATAAACACATAAAATTTGATCAATTAATACGTA